TTTAATAAGTCTCGTAAGTTTGGTTTGGTTTTTACATTGTCCCTTAATTTCTGTTTATCTGGAAATGACCTAATTTCCACATCATATTGGAACGAGAGTTTTGCAGGATATATTATTCTTGGCTGGCAATTTGTTTCTTTCAGGGTTTTATGTCTGTCATCCCATTGCCTGCTTGCCTGCATGGTTTCTGCCAGGTAGTCCGAGCTTAGTCTTATTGTTTCTCTTCTCTTTGTGACTTTTTGTTTTTCTCGAGCTCCTCTCAGGATTGTTTGTTTGTCTTTGATTTTAGCTAGTGTGATTATGATATGCCTTGGTGATGTTCTTTTGGGGTCTATCCTATATGGGGTTCGTTGAGCTTCTTGGATAGTCAGCTTTTCTTCTTTCATGACACTGGGGAAATTCTCTGTCAGCAATTTTTCAGTGATCCTCTCTTTGTTTTGTCCTCCTGTTCTGGAACTCTGATCACTCGCAGATTTTTGCTTTTGATTGTATCCCATGTAATTCTCAGGGTCTCTTCATTTTTCTTTGTTCTTTTTTCTGATTTTTCTTGAAACAGAGTTGTATCCAAGTATTTGTCTTCAATTTCGCTGTTATGCCAGCACCATTTTTTAAAGAGACTGTCTTTTCCCCAATTAATGGACCTTGAGCCTTTATCAAATGTCACCTTCTCATAGGTGGATGAATTTATGTCTGGATTCTCAATTCTGTTCCATTGGTCTATGTAGCTGTTGTTGTACCAGTACCAGGGTGTGGTGACTACCATGGCCGTATAATAGGTTCTAAAATCAGGTAGCGTGAAGCCTCCCTCTTTGTTCTTCTTGAGTAATGCTTTACTTATCTGGGGCCTCTTCCCATTTCATATGAAATTGGTGATTTGTTTCTCCATCTCATTAAAAAATGCCATTGAAATTTGGATCGGGATTGCATTGTCTGTTTAGATTGCTTTGGGTAGAATTGACATTTTTACAATGTTGAGTCTTCCTATCCATGAACATCATAGGTTTTTCCACTTCTACAGTTCTTTTTTGGTTTCTTACAGGAGTTTCTTGTAGTTTTCATTGTCTAGGTCTTTTACATCTCTGGTTAGATTTATGTCTAAGTATTTTATCTTCTGAGGGGCTATTGTAAATGGTATTGATTTGGTGATTTCCTCTTCGAAGTTCTCTTTGTTGGTGTAAAGGAATCTAGTTGATTTTTGTATGTTTATCTTGTATCCTAAAACTTTGCTGAAATCTTCTATTAGTTCTAGTAGATTTCTTGTGGATTCTTTCTGGTTTTCTGTGTATAAGATCATATCATCTGCAAATAGATACTTTGACTTTTTCCCTACCAATTTGGATGCCCTTTATTTCTTTTTCTAGCCTAATTGCTGTGGCGAGGACCTCCAGCATAATGTTAAATAATAGTGGTGATAGAGGGCATCCTTGTCTGGGTCCTGTTCTCAAGGGGAATGCTTTCAAAGTCTCTCCATTTAGGATGATGTTGGCTGTTGGTTTTGTATAAATGACCTTAATGATATTGAGGAATTTCCCTTCTATTCCCATTTTCTTGAGAGTTTTTATCATGAATGAGTGTTGGACTTTGACAAATGCTTTTTCTGCATCTATTGATAAGATCATGTGGTTCTTGTCTTTTTTACTTATGTAATAGATTGGATTGTTTTTCTAATGTTAAACCATCCCTGCATACCTGATGTAAATCCCACTTGGTCATGGTGAATTTTTTTTTGATATGTTGCTGAATTCTGTTGGCTAGAATTTTGTTGAGGATTTTTGTGTCAATGTTCATGAGGGATGTCAGTCTGTAATTTTCTTTTTTTGTGGTGTCTTTACCTGGTTTTGGTATCAGGGTTATGCTTGCTTTATAGAATTAGTTTGGGAGTATTCTATCCTTTTCTATGCTCTGAAATACCTTTAGTAGTAGTGGTGTTAACTCTTCTCTGAAAATTTGGTAGAATTCTCCGGTGAAGCCATCCGGGCCAGGGCTTTTTTTGTCAGAAGTTTTTTAATTACCTTTTAAATCTCTTCTTTTGTTATGAGTTTATTTAGTTCTTTTGCCTCTGTTTGTCTTAGTTTAGGTAGGTAGTGAATTTCTAGAAATTAGTCCATTTCCTCTAGGTTTTCATATTTGTTAGAATACAGTTTTTCATTTTATTCTGTTAGGATTCTTTTAATTTCAGTTGGGTCTGTTGTGATATCACCTTTCTCATTTCATATATGCGTTATTTGCTTCCTCACTAGTTTTTCTTTTGTCAGTTTGGCCAGTGGTTTATCAATTTTGTTGATCTTTTCAAAGAACCAGCTTTTGGTCTTGTTAACTCTTTCAGTTGTTTTTCTATTCTCTATTTCATTTAATTCTGCTCTAATTCTTATTATTTCCTTTCTTCTGGCACCTGAGGGCTTCTTTTGTTGCTCACTTTCTACTTGTTCTAATTGTAGGGTTAATGTTTTGATTTTGGCCATGTCTTCTTTTTGAATGTGTGCATTTATTGCTGTAAGCTGACCTCTGAGTACTGCTTTTAAGGTGTCCCAAAGGTTCAGGTATGATGTGTCTTCATTCTCATTTGATTGTATGAATTTCTTTATTCCATCCTTAGTTTCTTCTGTAATCCAGTAGTTTTTGAGGAAGATGTTGTTCAGTTTCCATGTGTTTGATTTTTTTTCCTTGCTTTTTCTGTTGTTGATTTCTACTTTTATGGCTTTATGGTCAAAAAAGATGCTTTGTAGTATTTCTGTGCTTTGGATTCTGGTAAGACTTGCTTTATGGTCTAAGATATGGTCTGTTCTGGAGAATGTTCCATGTGTGTTGGAAAAGAAAGTGTACTTGATTGCTGTTGTGTGGAGTGTTCGGTATATGTCTATGAGATCAAGTTGTTTCATTGTACCTTTTACATCTTCTGTGTCTTTGTTGAGCTTCTTAACGTTCTGTACTTCACCGAAAGTGGGGTGTGGAAGTCTCCTACTAGTATTGTGGAGCTGTCTCTCTCTCTTTTCAGTTCTGTTAGAGTTTTTTTAATGTATTTTGGAGGCCTGTCATTTGGTGCACAAATATTTATTATAGTTATGTCCTGCTGGTGTACTGACCCTGCCCCTTTAATCATTGTATAGTGTCGTCCTTTATTCTTTGTGGTGGATTTTACTTAAAGTCTATTTTGTCAGAGATTAATATTGCCACTCCAGCTCTTTTTGAGTGTTGTTTGCTTGATATATTTTTTTCCGTCCTTTGAGTTTTAGTTTGTTAGTGTCTTTAAGTGTAACATATGCCTCGTGTAGTCAGCATATAGACGGATCATGGTTTTTAATCCAGTCTACCACTCTCTGTCTCTATTGGTGCATTTAGTCCATTTACATTGAGCGTAATTATTGATAGGTATGAGTTTAGTGCCGTCATTTTTATGTGTTTTTTTGTGTGTGTGTGTTGTTCATAGTTTCTTTGTTCCCCTTAATTTTCTGTGCTGAGTTGGTTTTCTTTATGTATTTTCTTTTCATCTTTTTCATTGTTGGTGATTTTGTATTTCCTGAGTCTTTACAGTTTTCTCATTTTTTATTTTGACGTGTAGGGTTGTTAGTTTCCTTTGTGGTTGCCTGAATATTTACCTCTGTTTTTCTAAGTTTATACCAGTCTTTTATTTCTTTATATAGCCTTGAGTTCCTCTCCATATTAAAAATCTATGTCTGCATTTTTTAACTCCCATCTTTTTTGTTTTAATGTTGTCATCTTTTACATATTGACATCTGTTTCACTATTTTCTGTGTTTTAGCTTTGGTTCATTTTTGTGACTTCCCTATTTGGGTTGCTTTTGGTTGCTCTGCCCTCTTTTCTAGTCTTGGGTTGTTATCTGATGTTATTGATTTTCTAACCGGAGGACTTCCTTTACTATTTCTTGTAATTTTTGTTTGGTGTTTGCAAGTTCCTTAAACTTTTGTTTATCTGGAAATGCCCTAATTTCACCATCATATTTGAGAGAGAGTTTTGCTGGATATATAATTCTTGGCTGGTAGTTTTTTTCCTTCAAGGCTTTATATATGTCATCCCATTGCCTTCTTGCCTGCATGGTTTCTGCTGAATAGTCCGAGCTCAGTCTTATTGACTCTTCTTTGTAGGTGACTTTTTGTTTATTCCTAGCTGCTTTTAAAATTGTCTCTTTATCTTTGGTTTTGGCAAGTTTGATTATAATATGTCTTGGTGAAGTTCTTTTGGGATCTACCTTATGTGGGGTTTGATGATCATCTTGGATAGACATTTTGTCATCTTTCAAGACATCATGGAAGTTTTCTGCCAACAAATCTTCAACAATTCTCTCAGTATTTTCTGTTATCCCTCCACCCCTTTCTGGTACTCCAATCACTCGTAGGTTATTCCTCTTGATAGGGATACATAATTCTTAGGGTTTCTTCATTTTTTTAAATCCTTTTATCTGATTTTTCTTCAAATAAGTTGGTGTCAAGTGCTTTATCTTCAATCTCACTAATTTTGACTTCCATTGCCTCAGTTCTGCTCCTATGACTTTCTATTGCATTGGGTAATTTTGAAATTTTATTGTTAATCTTCTGGACTTCTGCTTGCTATCTCTATAGATTCTTGCAGCCTGGTAAATTTGTTGTTATGCTCTTTTCTAAGCTTTTTAATTTCCTCTATTGCGTGTTGTGCATTTTGCTCAGTTTTTTGAAGAGTTTTGTATATTAATCTTTTGTATTCTGCCTCCAGTATTTCCAAGAGATTTTTCTCCTCTGGACAATTTCTAGATTTTTTATTTTGAGAGCTTGGTGATACCTTCATGGACTGCCTCTTTATGTGATTGCATATTGACTGTTGTCTTCGAGCCATCAATAAGTTATTATATTTTTTTATTTTATGTTTGCTGATTGTGTCCTAGCTTTTTGTTTTGTTTTGTTTTGATATGCCCAGTTAGGCTGCTCTTGTGAGCTTGCCCGATCAATGGTGCCCCTGAAGGTCCAGTATCCTGCCACCAGGTGGCCCAACCTGCCACTAAGTGTGTGAAAAATATGGGACGCTTCACGAATTTGCGTGTCATCCTTGCGCAGGAGCTGTGCTAATGTTGTATCTTTCCAATTTTAGTATATGTGCTGCTGAAGCGAGCCCAAGATAAGAGCTCTTAAAAAATAACCCAGCACCAGTATCCCACATGTTTTGGATTGAATTGTGTCCCCGCTGAAAACATGTATTGGAATCCTAACTCCTGTTCTTTTGGATGTAATGTAAAGTAATCACTTTCCCTTATATCATCTAATGAGGTTATAGCAGTGTAGGGTGCGTCCTAAACTTAATTAGATTAGACAGAGAAAAGCAGATAATCTGGGGAAGATAGATGCCATGTGAGGAACTCCAAGAGCCAAGAAATGCCTGGGACTGCTGACTGGGAAGGAATCGATATAGTGGAGACTGTGATTTGGACTTTTAGCCTCCAGAACTGCGAGAAAATAAATTTCTGTTTTTAAAGCCACCCACATATGGTATTTCTGTTACAACAGTACTAGAAAACTAAGCCATCACCTGAAATAGTTAAGAATAATTTCCTAATGTTATTAAGGAGCCGTGGTGGTGCAGTGGTTAAAAGTTCATCTGTTAACCAAAGGTTGGCGGTTTGAATCCATCAGTTGCTGATTGGAAACTGTGTGGGACAGTTGTACTCTGTTTTATAGGGTCACTGTGAGTCAGAATCGACTAGATGGAAATAGTTTTGGTTTTTTAGTTTTGATAATGTCATTTAAAATCCAGCCAATATTCCAATTTCTTCAAGTGTTTCATAAATATTTAAGAACTTATTTGTTCAAATCATTATCAAAATAATGTTTATCCATTGCAGTAGGTTGATATGTCTTTTAATTCTGTTTTAATTGGTGAATCCCTCTCTCTTTTGTTTTCCCTTGGAGATTTCTTCGTTGAAAACAATTTAGATTTTACTGATTGCATCCCTATGGTATTAACATGCACTCTGGCCCCTTTATTTCCTGTAATTGGTACACGTATAGGTGCAGCAGCTTGATTAGATTCAGGTTTCATTTTTGGCTGGACCACTGTATAAGTGGTGATAGTGTGCTCTTCCCTTAACATGTGCAAAATGTCTTTCATTTTATGATGTTATCAGTCATTGATTATTGCCTAACTCTCACTTGGGGTTTCAAATGATGGTATTCTAATCAGACCATTCCTTTTTTTTTTCAGTTGAAATACTTTTCTAAACAAAAACGTTCCTTCTTTATCGATTTGATTGAGATATAGTTTGTATAATCAAGGTAGAGGGGTATCTGCTTGATTATTTCCAAGTAATTGACCAATTTTCAAAATAATGAAATGGTTATCTAATATCTTTGAAAAGTGATCTATATTTTTAAAATAAACAAGTGGATTTAAACATATTTCAATGTTTAATGTGAAATATGTTGAAATATTTCAATCCATTGCAGTTATACTTCTTATCTTCCATAGATTAGCTTGCATTTTCTAGAATTTTATTTAAGTAAAATGCATTTTTTTCTTTTCTGGATTCTTTCAGCATTATTATGAAATCTATCCATATTGTTGCGTGTGTCAATAGTTTTTTTTTATTGCTAAAATATTATATGGGTATTTTTTCTATTCACTTTATTGATGGACATTTGGGCTGTTTCTAGTTTTTGGCTATTACTCAATGTATCTACTGTGGACGTTCCTGTACAAATGTAGGTATGAGTGTATGCTTTCATTTCTGTTCGATAAATACCTAGGAGTGCAGTGGCTAAGTCAAATTGTAGATGTATGTTTAATTTTTTGAGAAACTGCCAAACTGTTTTCCAGAGTACCATTTTATATTCCTGCCAGCAGTGTATGGGAGTTGCAGTTTTCTGTATCCTTGCCAAAACTCCATATTGTCAATTTTTGTTTTTTGTTTTGTTTTAATTTTATACATGTTTTGGTATATCATTGGAGTCCTGGGGTGGTGCAAAAAGTTGGAGGTTAAGTCCACCCAGAGGCTTCTCAGAAGAAAAGCCTGGCAATCTAATTCCGAATATCAGCCATTGAAAACCCTATGGAGTACAGTTCTACTGTCACACATGGGGTCACCCATGAGTTGGAGTTATCTCTGTGACGGCTGTTTTCTTTTTTGTGGTATATCATTGCAATTTTAATTTAAATTTCCTTAATGATTAATGGTATTAACATTTTGTGTGCTTTTCTACCATCTGTAATATGTTCTTTGGTAAAGTGTTCAAATGTTTTGCACATTTTTTAAATTGAATTTTTGTTCTTATAAAATTTTGGGACTTCTTTATACATTTTGGAAACCCAGGTGGCTTAGTGGTTAACAGCTACGGCTGCTAACCAGAAAGATTGGTAATTCGAATCCACCAGGTGCTCCTTGGAAACCGTATAGGGCAGTTCCTCTCTGTCCTGTAGGGTCGCTATGAGTCAGAAATGACTCAACAGCAACGGGTTTGGTTTGGTTGTGGTTTAGTGCAAGAGAAGACTTGAAGGCTTTTCAATGATTTAAAAGCTGCACATGCAGCAAGTGAAGGTGATTTTAAAATATTTTCTCCCAGTTTTGGATGTCCTTTCATTATCTTAATAGTGTCTTTCGAAGAACAGAAGTTTGTAATTTTTATGAACTCGAGGTTATTCATCTTTTTTCTTTTATGAATTATGCTTTTGGTGGTGTATCTAAGAAATCTTTGCCTAACTCAAGATCCCAAAGATTCTCGCCCATGTTTTCTTCTGTAAGTTTTATATTTGTAGGTTTTACATTTAGGTCTATGATTCGTTTTGAGTTAGTTTTTGCATATGGTATAATATATGCACTGAAGTTCATTTTTTGTGCATTAAAAAAAAGCATATTCATTTGTTCCAACACCATTTGTTACAAATAATATCTTTATTACTAAATTGATTTTGTACTTTTTTCAAAATCAATTGACTATACATGTGTTGGTCTATTTCTGGGTGTTCTATTTTGTTCCATTGTTTGTAGTTGTCTGTCTTTATGGCAGTATCATGCTGTTGTAATTACTGTAGCTTTATAATAAGTCTTGAAATCAGGTAATGTTAGTTTTCCAGTTTGGTTCTTTGTGCAGTTGTTTTGGCTATTTTAGGTCTTTTGCATTTCTGTATGAATTTTAGAATCAGTTTGTTAATTTCTGCAAAAAAGCCTGCTAGATTTTGAATGGGATTGTATCGAATCTATAGATCAACTTTGGGGAATAGTGACAATATTGATTCTTCTTTTCTATGAACATGTTTTATCTCTCCATTTATTTAGGTTTTCTTTAATTTATCATAGCAGGATTTTGTAGTTTTCAGTGTAAAGGTTTTGTACAACTTCTGTTATATTTATCTCTAATTTATGGTTTTTGGTGCTCTTGTAAGTGGTACCATAATTTTAATTTCAGTTTACAGTTGTTTATTGCTAGTATATAGAAATACAATTGATTTTTATATGTTGATCTTGTATCCTGCAACGTTGCTATACTCACTCGTTGACAAGGTTTTTGTATATTCTACAGGGTTGTCTACATAGATAAGCATGCCATCTGCGAATAAAGACAGTTTTATTTCTTGGTATTATTTCTTTCTTAAATGTTTGGTAGATGTTATGAATTGAATTGTGTCCCCTAAAATATGTGTTGAAGTCTTAACCCCTGTATTTGTAAATATGGCCCTGTTTGGAAATAGGGGGTTTCTTTTTAGTTGTGTTAATGAGGTCATACCAGCGTAGGGTGGTTCCTAAACCTAATCACTTCTGAGTGGTATCTTATAAAAAGATCAGAATAGACACAGAGACACATTGGCACAGGGGGAAGACAGATGATGGAGATAGATGCATGTACAAGCCCAGGAATGCCAAGGATTGCTGGTGGAAAGAGACAAAGAAAACTATTTCCAAACAGAATTACATATACAGGCAGAGGGGTTAGGATTCCAACACATGTTTTGTGGGCACACAATTCAGTTGATAACACCAACTGTAACTGTACATTTGTCGTATTTCTTCATACCATTTTTACAGTTTTGCCTCATATATTTTAAAGCCCTGTTATTAGATGCATAATTGTTTAGTATTGTTATGTCCTCTTGACGAATTGATACTTTATCCATATGAAATTATTCTTTTATCCTGGATAATATTCTTTGCTCTGAAATCTGCTCTTACTGATATTAAAATAGCCATTTCAGATTTCTTAGAATTAGTGTTAACATGTTATATCCTTTTACTTTTAACCTATTTGTGTCTTTATATTTAAAGTGGGTTTCTGTTATCCAGGACAGTTCATGTCTGACCCCAAACACGCATGACCATCTTAGCAGAACCAAAGCCATACAGTTGTTTGGACCCACTTTCCTAGAAAACAACTTAGAGACTGACTGTTATTTTTCCACCATGCCTTTAGGGATGGCACATTTTCATCCCAATGCTAAGGGTCCCTCCAACCATGTGTGGTACTATTCCTGTGGGGATTTCTAGTAAATATGATTTTTTTCTTTTTTTTGCCATCGTGTTACATTTCAAGTGATGCTTTAGCTCCCCTGACAGATATCCACCTAGGCAGCGTGGATATGGAGCCACCTCCCTGGTGTCACACAACTTCCAAAAGACGCATTGTGCAGTTTTTAATCCCTTCCTTCTTCTTCTTTCCAGGCCCTATCAGTTCTGTAGGCCTCTTCATTGTTCCTCCCAGAGGCCAACAGCTCTTCATTCATATGTGTGTTATAATTTGATAATGGCACATGTTGAGAACACGGTTTCTCAGCCTTAGCACTATTGACATTTTTGACCAAATACCTCTTTGTTGTAGGTTGCTCTTCTGTGCATTGTAGGATATTTAGCAATATCCAAGCATCTTTTACCCACTGAATGCCTGCAGCAGCCCCTCTGTGATAAAAATGTCTCGGTATAACAATAAAAATTGTCTCCAAATATTGCCAAATGACTCTGGGAGACAGTATTGCCCCCAGTTGAGAACCACTGGTAAGGGAAAATTGGCTCAGAAACTCCTTGATTGTGTTTACCTCCTTATTAATCATAGCTATCAAAGTTCCCAAGTAACCTGGTGGCGCAGTGGTTAAGCGATCGGCTGCTAACCTAAAGGTCAGCAGGTATGGCATTCTGC